TTTGAATGAACAATTTCTTTGTGAAATTGCATATTCGTTAATAATCTTCTCTCGCAGCCGTTAGGACGTTCGTTCCCAGGTCACTCCCACCGAACAACGTCCTAACGGCTTTGAGATGAGACTAATTCGTTAAGATTTACGTGATTTGTTGCTGTTTATCTACCTTATTGGTGCCAGGTATTTCCTGGTACATTGTCCAGGAAGAACCATCAGTAGATGTTGATACCATGAAAGATGTCGTCCAGGACTGTCCATCGTGGTATCCTTGAATACCAACACCAGACACATACTTGATTTGTAGAAGGTCAATCTTGAACCATGGCGACTGATCGGCGCTATCAGTCTATAAGCGTACCATAGTGTAACATGTGAGAAGCCGGCATAGATAGGCGTTCCTAGTCGCTTCGAGAGAGTTTGGATTGGAGAAACCCCAGCTACCTCAGGGAGACCAGGAACGCCTGTTTACGCAACTATAATGCGAGCGAATAAACGTAGCGTTTAGACCTCTGAGACGTTTACGTCAAACTTAGACGCATTGCATTGCAGGATTTCTCCGTGACAAAACATGGAGGATTTCTTTTGTTTTCAGAAACTGATCCCCACAATTCATTGCAAATCAAGTAGGTGACGTAAAAGCCTCACAGTTCTATTGTCATTTATTCAGAACGTGTTCATTATATATATATTCAATTCAGTGTTTAAAAAGTTCGTTCACCTGTGCTCCTGGAGGCCAGTCTTTCTTGTTAAGCCTGCCATTTTTCTCACCATAACGGGAATCTTTGTTATAATATGAAGACATAGACAACTGGGAATCTAAAATTTTACCATTTTCCATCCCAAGGGCATCTGCACATGGCACACGATCTGAAAAGCAATGAATAGCAACCTCGCCTTGATTCCATTGCGCATGCTCTTTATTAAATGTAAAAACCCTACGACTGATTAGCTCAGTGATGTGCGTACAAATAAACAAAATCACAGAACATCGAATATCAAAAGGCCAGTGTGAAGTATGGTAGTAATTAAACGAGTCAATAACACTTTCTATCAGCAAGTTACTACACAAAGTACCTACAAATAAAGCAATTTTTAACTACAGTTGTGTAAAAARRWWAAWTWAWKKTTTYYTTWMYYC